ATATGATAAAGACATGCCCCAGTATTTACTGTTGCCGATATTTTCTTTTGGACTGTGTTCACATTTTGAGTGTCTCATGTAAAAGAATCTATGCAATATTTAAATTATGTGTCTATGGTATTTCACTTCACATTATGGTCTTGAGACACATACATTTTCCTACAAATGAGTCAAGTTTATCCTTTTCTATGGGAGAGTGGCACTCCATTATGCATAGTACCATATTTTCCTTTTTTATGTATTTGGTACAGAGTCTACAGGGTCTCACTATATAGATTGGACTTGTAATGATTCTCCTGTTTTCAGCCTCCCAAGCACTGGGATTAAAGGAGCCCCTCACCATACCCAGTCTCAATAGCCATCTCAGCACACCCTGTGGGCTGGACTCACACGGCACACCAGAGATCGAACCCAGCCACTGTGCTCGGCCTAAGCAGGCACTTTGGTCCGCTGAGCTTTCTGGCCAATCCTGCTACCATATTTTCTTTATCCATACATTTTTTTTGTTGGAACTGGGGATTGAACTCAGGCCCTTGTGTGTGCCAGACAAGTGCTTATTCTACTGAGCTATCTCTCCGGCCTCTATCCATACATTTGTTGATGGACTTATAGGCTCCTTCCAAAATTTACCTATAGGAAGTTATTGCTATAAACATGGCTATGTATATATTACCATATTAGGATGTCTTTAATTATCTTATGAAGAAACCTAGAAAGGAAGTCCTTCAATTGAATATAATTTCTAGGGTTAGTTTTTATTTAAATACTGACCATACTGAATTCCATACTGATTTTACCAGTTTACACTCCCAACAAAAATGAAGAAGTGCTCCTTTTCCCCTGACAGGCTCCCCAGCATTTGCTTTTATTTCTTGAGGACAGCCATTCTTTCTAAAATGAGATAAAATCTCCATGTTATTTTAATCTGCATGTATTAAACAGGTAGAAGTGTTTAACAATTTTTCATGTATTCTTTGGGTTTTAGTTATATGCACTTTTTCATCTGAGAAGTGTTAGTGTTTTGAGAAGCCAAATTCTTGATTGGGCCTTTTACATTTTGTGTCAGAAAATTGTTTGTGCTTTTTATATTCTAGATATATTGTTCATTATCTGAAGATTAGCTCACAAATTTTTGTCATTCTGTAAATTATCTCTTTACTACTCTGGGTGTTCCCTTTGCTGTGAAGAAGCTTTTAAATTTGATACACTCACATTTGTTGATTCTTGACATGATTTCTTATGTACCTATGATTCTTTTCATAAAGACTTTTTCTAAAAATGTTTCTAACAGCTTTAATCTATTTTGTCCCTGTCCTTATGGAGTGAATCCGACTTTATTCGGATGATTTACTGCATTCTGCTTACCAGTATCTTACTAAGGGTTGTGCATCTGTTTTCACAAAAGTGGTTGGTCTGTTGTTCTCCTTTTTGTATGGATTCTTTTGTGGTTTGGGAAGTGGAGTCATTCTTGCTTCCAAGAATGACCTGGGACTCCTGCTTCCCATTCAATTGCATGAAGGAGTTTGAGGTGCGTTGGCATTAGATCTTCTCTAATGTTCTTAGAAAACTTGACAGTGAGTTTGTCAAGACCTGGGATTTGGGGGTAGTTGCTTTTTTATAAAAAGGTTTCATTTTGATTCTATGCATTCTAAATGTTCCCCAAATCCAGGAGCCAAGGAGGAATCTGAAACTGATGCTTCCCTTCCCTGCAGTGTGGTCTGTGTCCTCAACACCTTTGTAAGGTTTTCTTTATGGTACACACATGCAGTACAAAATGATCACATCCATCATGAGGATTTGCTCGTGCATATATTACATTTAATGCTTTTTGTTTCTCACCACTCCTCATTTACAAAAGTTCTATTTCCATTTTTCTCTCAATTTTTCTCCTTTTTTTCCTTTCCTTTCCATCCTTTCTTCCACTACCTCTTGTTCCCCTTCCTAATTGAACAGGTTCTTTCTACTTCCTTATAGTGAGCCTTAATTTCACTCCGTAGTTTACACTTTGGGTTTCTAACACAACAGAAACAGTGTTGTAGTTGAAGTTTTGTGTCTGATTTCCTTCATTTACGATTACCGTCTTCAGGAGCATCCACTGACGTCAAAACGTCTATGGCCATGCCACCCTGAACACACCTGATTTCGTCAACTTTACCATTCATTACGCCAAAGTAGTACTGCATTGTATATAAGTACCATATTTTCATTATCCATTTAACTGTGGATAGACATATGGACTATTTATAGAAGTACAGTCTATAATATCTAAATCTTAGAAGCAGTCTCTCTAGTTTCAACTTTGCTTTCATTCTTTCAGATTTCATGGGATCCATATCTTTCTTTTGACTTTTTTTTCTCTACCCCAGTATTATTTTCTAGCATCTAGATTCAGAAAATTTGGGGAGGCAAATTCCTACTGTTCATCATTTTGCTACTTGTTTTTAACACTGATGATTTGAAGATAACCCATATCCATTAACAAGGAGACTCACAGAGCCTGGTTTCATGTTATCAGTCTGGAGATCCTGGTGAGGTTGGCTGTCTGTAAACTGCTAGAAATTCTCCTAAGTGGTTGCAGATGAGCAAACTCAGGAAGGTCAATACCTTGATCCAAGAGGTGACCATCAGTCAATAGAGGGAGCTACATATGGTTAGCAAATGGAGGATCTCAGGATCTGGGAGATCCATGGCATAGACCCTTTCTGGGAATTGAGAGTGCTTGCAAGCCAGAAACAGTAGATCCCTGAATCAGCCTGCTCCCCAGGCCAGCCCAGAGAGGCTCTATTAGCATGTTGTGTTCTACTATGGCCTGGAAGGGAGGCATCAGGGAGATGAAGCCTAGTTCTCAAAGGGAGAGATTGGTTCACCTGGGTAGGTGTGCAGCTGAGGGAGGGCAGGCACCTCCAGAAAGAAGATGGAGAAACTACAGAAGCACATAGGCATTACTTTCCTTAAGAGGTCATTGATGAGCTGAGCGAGGAGGCTCTTGCCTGTAATCCCAGCACTTGGGAGACTGATGCCAGAGAATCGCGGTGAGTTCAAGTCCAGCCTGGACTACAAATGAGCTCAAGGCCAGCCTGAACTGCATAGAAAGACCCTGTCTCAAAAAAAGACAGAAAAAGAGAGCTTACTCCTGAAACACAATATCTAACACAGTTTAATGGAAGAAAAGTTGATTTTGGCTCACAGTTTATAAAGGTTTCTATTCATAGTCAGCCAGCTCCAAAGAAGAACAGCAGAATATCATGGTAGGAGGAGAGCTGCTCACCATGAGTCCTCTAGGAAGCAGAGAGTGAAAGGAAGACCCAGGAAGGAACGTATAACCTACCCTGTCGCACTCAAAATGATCTTCTTCTCTGGAGAAGGCTTTGCATCCTCAGTGTAAGCCAGATTTGAGCCTCCATAATCCAATTACTTTCCAATGCTTCTGCCTATGATACCATGGGACTTTCCAGGGAAATCTAGATTAAACAGTAAGAGTGGCCCTGAATCACGGAAGAGATAGGCGCAGGTCTTGCTGTCCGCACTGAAGCCCGTTGGCAAGATGACATGATGAGTAGCTTCTCACTTCTTTTGGGGATCCTGGCGATCTCAGCAAAGTGAAAGACTGGATCTGAGATGGTATCTGCAGGTTGGCACAAGGAACCCCACCTGATAAGGAAACACAGAGTTCCCGTGTCTGCCAAAATTCAAGGTGAAGGTCCCAAGGGAGAACTTAGGGTACTCCTCATCTGAACACAGCTGGGTGGGTGCTTCTCTGACATCAGACCTGTGCTTTGATCATTCCAGGCATCCCACAAGCACTCTTTCGCTGAGGCTGCTCTCTTAGTTCTGCATCATTAGTCTCAGTGAGTTGAAAACATTGCTACAAAGGGGATGAAAGCAGGACAGGACAAGTAGAATCTCAGTATCTATCAGGGGTTGAGGTGAGGCAGAGAAAACACACTCATCTGAGCATTCAGTACTCTAGCCATGCTTTTTCTTAGTTTACCTCAGGCCAGCAGAGGATGAAGTTCTAATGTGCTCAAGGCATGAGTGAGCAGAGAGTGTACAACCACCACAGAACAATGAAGAGCTCACAGAGTACCCTTTTTCACCTCAGACACAAGGACCATAGGCAGAATAGATTGCCCACTTCCTCTTTTGAGTGTCTCACAGGAATTTTGTTGTGGTACATAGAGGGTGAGCCTGTCAGTGCACGGACAGTCTTTAACTTAACCATTTAAGATAAAGATTGAACAGGTTTCCTCTCCTAGGGCATATGGACAGCACTGAGTTTTTGCTCCTCAAGCCGTTTCCCCTAGGCAGTTGTGACCAGATGTGTGTCCTCTTTCTGCCTTTTGTTCCCTATCGAAGGGGAAAATGCTTTTTCTTAGTTCACCTCAGGCCAGCAGAGGATGAAGTTCTAATGTGCTCAAGGCATGAGTGAGCAGAGAGTGTACAACCACCACAGAACAATGAAGAGCTCACAGAGTACAGGCCATCCACCTTTTGAGTGCTGTGGGAGCAGGACTGTACCTGGAGGTTGCAGCCTAAGTAGCCTTCTCTGTCTTACAGGAACTACAGGATCCAGACTGTGAAGCTTTCCTTGGGAAGCAGCATCCTCAGCTCACACAGCCGAGGAGACCCAGATATTGTCTGGAATCAAGGTGAGGTGTGTGTCCTGTTGTGTACGTTGGGTTTCCCCTGCCCTGGAGTGTGCACTCCACAGTCCCCATGCTCCATATGCTATATTGTCTTTCCAAGAGCCTTGTCCTCTGCAGTTCAACTTCAGCCTGAAAAGCAGCCACATTTCATGTCCTAGAATCATGAGAACACTTCGGGTAGGAGAATACACTCCTGTGAAGTCATAGAGCATCCCCCAAGAGAAGACCTGTAATGGCTTTCGTGGGAGCCAACAAATGTGAGGTTGTCAGATGAGAACATTAATAGCCTCCCTCTGTCGTGCAGGCATCTGAGTCTTCAACCGCAAGTTCTTGCTGTCTGCACAGAAAACCATGATGCCTCATGGTCAGAGGAACCCAAACAGCAAGCTTGAGGGAGGCTATCCTGACCAGAGTGCTGCACAGATCCTCATGGGAAAACAAGATCTCAAGGATAAGGAGAATGGAGCATCCACTGTTTCCTCTGCATCCTCTTCCTCCCACACTGCAATTGGAACCACACCACAGGAAGAGCCTGGGGCTGAAACACAAAGTTGTCCTAAGAATCCTCAGGGTGTCTTTACCACCTCCACTGCCGTGGCTTCCAGTCTAAGGAGCCAATCCAGTGAAGGTGGTATCAGAACCCTCAGGCCAGATCCAGAGGGTTCGTGCTCCTCACAGGACATTAAGGTCACTCAGATCCCACACCATGTGGTCCCAAATGACAAGTTGGATAATTTGGTGCGATTTCTGCTCTGTAAATATAAAAAAAAAGAGCAGATCACCGTGGAAGAAATGATACATACTGTGGACCAGGATTATCGTAAGCATTTTCTTCTGATTTTCAAGAAAATATGTGTTTGCATTTGTCCAGGGTTTGGCATTGAGGTGAGGGAAGTGGTTCCCCCTGGTCATACATTTGTCCTTGTCCCCATCTTGGGACTCACTTATGATGGCATACTGGATGATGATGATGATGATGAGGTCATTCCAAAAGTCGACCTACTGATATTCATGCTGAGTGTAATCTTCATAAAGGGCAACCGGCTCAGGGAGGAGGACTTAAAGGAACTACTGAGAAGTAGGCAGTTATTAAATGAGCAGAAGCACGCAGTGGTTAGGGACCCCTGGAAATTCATCAGAGAGGATTTGGTTCAGGCAGAGTACCTGGTGTACCAGCAGGTTCCTAACAGTGATCCTGCTCAGTATGAGTTCCTGTGGGGTCCGAGGGCTCACGCTGAAACCACCAAGATGAAAGTCCTGGAGCATGTGGCCCAGCTTCAGAAGGCTTCTCCTCGGTCTTACCCACGTCTATATGTGGAGGCTTCAAGAGAGGAAGAAGATAAAATCAGGGTCATTGAGGGGCAAGAAGTATGATGGGGACAAGGAGTATTCCACCACAAGACCAGTGGGTTAATCCCCACCCCGTGTGACATGATGCCCCTCCTCAGTTTTTGTGGAGAGCAGGCAGTTTTTTGAATGGTGAAGGGGCAGGGGCGGGGGCAAAGTACCATGTGTGTCATCTTGATGTCTCTTCTGTTTGGGCCACTAGGAAATGGACATGTGTTTTCTTTATGGCCTTTTGAAATTTGGTTTATGTTTTGTAAGACTGAAATAACTTGCAAATTTTATTTTTTTATTTCTATTTTTAAGGGTTTTTTGTTGTTGTTGTTGGTGGTGGTGGTGTTTCTTTTTTTTTTTTCTTTTCTTTTCTTTTCTTTTCTTTTCTTTTCTTTTCTTTCAGGGTCTCACTACACAGCTTGGATTCTTACTAATCCTCCTGATTTGTGCCTGTGTAGTGCTGGGATTACAGGTGTGTGCCAACAAGCCCAGATTCCATCAAGGGCTCAGTGCGCCTGGGAGTGGGGCTGGATGGCAGGCAGTGACAGGGATCCAACCCTGGCCCCTGTGCTTATCTAAGAAAGCACTTAGTGTGCTGAGCTATACTGCCAGCCCTAACTTGTAAACTTTTATTTGAACTATGGTATTGGTGTCACATATACTTTTAGTTTTCTGATATTGATATTTGATTATGCTTCTTTTTTTGATTATGCTTTTTATGCGAAGGTGATTTTGCGTGGCATTTGTGTGACATGTAGATTTTGCTTTATTACTCTGATCATATGTGTTTCCTATTTTGTGAAAAAAAAACAGGAAAAACGTTCATTCGATTTATATTATAATGTTGAATTAGTAATTTCCTTGGAGATATGAAAGATTTTTACATCAAGTTAGATGGATTCCAAAAAGAAACATGAATGTAAAAATCAATTCATGACTTCTTATGTTTTTTTCCATGTTGATCTGTAGTATTAAAAATATGCATACCTGACTATGCTTGGCTTCTTTAATTATAGTAGGGAAATTTATTGTCACTAAAGAACTTCGCGTGCTCAGGGGCACACTGATCCCAGCCCCTCCCTGCCCGTGCAGACTTGCGAAGGCCCTTTTCTCGAGTGGAGATTTGTACACTCCACTGAGCAGGATCAAAGCTACACCAGGGGATGGGGGAGTCCAGGAGCTAAAGTGGAGGTAACAGAGAAGTGAGTGGCTGGGGTCCAGCAGAGAGAAGCCACACGTGAGTCCTGAGCTGCAGCACCGAGGGGCTTGGGCTGCCTGCAGTTCCTGCTGCAGAAACTGATGTAATGCAGCCACAAGGTGGCCAGTGACAGACACTCAGGTGAGGCCCAGGTGCCCTGGCCCGAGATGAGAGCCAGGGAGGATGAACGCACTGCTCTGAGCAGTGGTTTTAGATGGTGGGTGAAGCTGAGTGTAACCCTCACCTAGGACAGCAATCATAAGAGTGGTCCTATGCAGGGAATGAGACAGGGGACTTAAGCCCAGCCTCTGTGAGGATTTCCTGAGAGATGGAGCAGACTCTCAGGGGAAGTGAGGCCCCAGAGTTCTTGGTCAGGTACTCTGTTCTCTGCTTGGAATGTCCACCACCCAGGTTCTTACAGTGCCCACCTGACTGCTTTCCAGGGGACAACTTCTACTCCTGAGTCCAGTTTGCTTCAAGGACTCTTACACAATGGACAGGAGTATGTGGCCAGTCCCAGTGGCCAGTTACACAAGTGGTCAGATGTCTGCCTGACCAAAAGCTTTTCCCTCCAGAGCCCCTTCTCGGTGTTCCCGAGTGTCCTCTCTGTTGCGTGCCATCACTCACCTGGGTCAGTGCTCAGTTATTTCCTTTGAGCAGAAGTTTATGCTAGTGTTTTCAATGTATATAATTTTGCTTTGTGTAGGAACTGCATCTGTGCTGAAGTGGCCTTGTCACTAAATTGGCCAGGGTGCTGCCGAGGCCTTATGATCCCTAAGGCCAGACTTTTGGTGAAGACGATATGACTCAAAATAGTTGTTTCTTTGGAAGAGAAGCAGGAAGAGGGGAATATGGCTCTTCCCTCAGACACTCCATGTCTCGGGTACCCTTCTCTTTGCTGAGATAAAACAACACCCAAGGCTAAAGGGAGCCATGTTTATTTATCTCATAGTTTGCAAAGGGTTTAATCCATTATTTCCCAGATCAAGGGGGCAGTGGCACAGCAGACAGGCATCACGGTGGAGAAACAGTTCACGGTGAGCAGAATGCAGCAAAGCCACAAGGACTTTAGTAGCACCTTTCTGCCCCTTTTATCTTGTCTAGACTACTGAGCGTTTGTAGCACTCCCACCCTTCATCTGAGTTCCTGAGAGCCCACCATTGCCTTGTAAATCAATTCTTGCATCATACACAAGATCCAGCCATGTCTGAAGCAGCCCCAGCTGTTACTGCATACATCTAAACACAAGCCATGAAATTCTTCCTCTAGCCTGCCAAATACTCCTGCATATCCCTTTACGCATTAAAGCATTTAGTTCACCTCCAAGAACTGCCAAAGTACTAACAATTGCAGCATTGCTGAGAGGTCCAAATCCCAAGTCTCTGAGATTTATGCCAAATTTTTAGCTGCTATAACCTGTACAAATGAGAAGAGTATTAAACGCTTCCAACATTCAATGGTACAAGATAGACATTCCTATTCCAAAAGTTACAAACAGAGGGATCCAAAGGAATGGGGTCAAAGACACTCCACAATCCAGTAAGGCAAACATTAAATCCCACAGCTCCACTTCCTGCATGCCTGGCAATCTCGGGCAAGTTGTAAACTCCAAGGCTTGGGTAGCTCTGTCTGTACAGGTCTTCCAGTTGTAGTAGCTGCTATGGCTGCCATATGGGGCCAGCTCTACTCTATCCTTACTGCTTTCCTCAATAAATTCCCATTCCTGCCTTCTGCAAACATCTGGAGTGTCCAGTGCACCTTTGGCTTTACAGGCTTAGCTTCACACACGCTGCCTTCTCAAGAACACATTGTCTGGACTCCCAGGCCTTCTGAAATCTGTATGAAATGCTTTCTGGCCCTACACTTTTATTTTTGTAAAAAAAAATATGAATTTTGTACAGGGCCTCACTGCACAGCTTAGGCTCCTAGTGATCCTCCTGTGTCAGCCTCCCCAATGCTGGGATTACAGGTGTACGACACCACAGCTGGACTCAGTTGCCAGCTCAACGTCCCTGGGGGGCAATCCTACACTTTTCCATTCTGCATGCACCTAAAGCCAAAACCACCCACATGATGCCACATCTGCATCCATCTCAACAGCAGCCAGGCTTCCTTCTCTCACGGATGTTGGTTTTCAGTGCCTATGAACCACATTCCGAGGAACAACTCTATGCCAGGGAGATTATGGACCATGGTGCTCTGGGGCTCTCTTCTCAAAATAAAGTCTTTGACTTTTCTAATTTTGAGGCTGCAAAGAGCAGTGTGCTACTGCTTTTTGTGATGCCATTAGACCATCTTTTCTCTTCTCCTGTTCTTTCTCAAAAACTAAGATCTACTCTGCTCTATCTTTGAAGTCCACAGCTTTATTGGATCTTCATTTCTGGCCAAACTCATGCCTTTAAGCATTCTGCTAGGCTCTGTGCTCTTCATCCTCAAAACAAATCTGACCAAAGAACACATGTCCAGCTGCATGAGCTGATGGAGTCGGTCCAAATCCTCTGCTCCCTGACAAGCTGTGGGTGAGAAAGGACCTTGCTCAAAGCAGTACAGGGGAAAAAAGTACATGCAAGGTTTGAATTACTCCAAATGCTGAAGTTATCTGAGTAGGTGCTAAGTGCATCTTGCTGACCTTAAAATAAAAATAAAAACAAAATCATTCTCCAGGCTCTAGTCTGTGTCCCTCCCCACAAGGAAGTCATGTTTTGCAAAACACTGAATGTCACTAGTGGTGATGTTCAGAAAAGGAAAGTCCTGTTGGCTTCAAGAACAACTCTCAGGTAAGAGTCTTCTGTGAATGAAAAGATAGGAGTGATTTTTATTACTGCAAAAATTGGATGTTGTTGTGAAGGGGAAAAAAACACAAGTGCTAAGAAGTGAAGAAGAAGAACCCCTCGTGCTAATATGTCCAGAATACTATGGAGATGTCAGTGAGTCTGTACCTCATGGGTCTGCGCCATAGGAGGTGAGACATAAAACAGCTGGGGACTTCCCACAACTATGTCACCTTCTCAAGAAATGCTCTCAGAGGGGATGAGAATTTTCTCTTAAAAATCATATTTTTTGCTATTGATTGAGCACCTGATAAGTGATGACGCTGTTGACATTAAGAGCCCTCTTGCACTGGACGCTTGGCTTGCCTGCATTTTTATACAGGGGAGCATTGTACTCCACTTGTAATTAGGAAGGGTCATTTGATGATCCTTCTGCTAAGAAGAACTTCCAGCTGCCCACTTCAAACCAGAAAAGTTCAGGTCAGTGAGGAATAGTCCTCAAGAAATCAGAAACACTAGCAGACCAGTAGCCTATTCATTGCAGCATGTCCAAAGAAGACATTGGAGGGGCCCTGGAGTAATATACCATGGCCACACAGCGTAGCACACTGATCTCTCTGTATCCATGCTGAGGAGATTCAACCCCTTATGCTTGCTTCCTTTGACAGGAGCAAACCGATTCTTACCTTGAAGGCCCTGGGCAGAGGCTGCCCCACAGAGCTGACTGCACAGTTTCCTTCGTACAAGCCACATCTTTCAGGCTGGGGAGATTTACCTGTCAATCTCATGAACCTATCTGAGTTTAGGGAGTTCTTACTGCATGATTTCAAAACAATAAAGATGTGCATCAACAGAATACAAGGAACATGCTGCTCGTTCACTGTTAAATAGACCCAGGTTTAAAAGCCAAGCTGAGAGCAGGCACTGCACATGCAGTGGGCACAGATATGAGCCCTGATTTAAGTGACATTTCTAAGAATTTCAGACTGTTAAGTTCATAGCAGGAAAGTTCCCACCCTGAGAGTATGGCTCCTAAACACGTGTAGCTGTCTTCCTAGAGCAGTCCT